AAGTTGACGAGGGTGATTTAAAGAAACACGTTTCTATGTATGTTTATTTATAATACTTGCTACTTATAGCTATAATATGTATTATTTATTCATAAGAAGTTGTTGCATATCTCTATTTTTGCCCTTCAGAGTCATTGTGACTATGCTGGTGCTAACTGCAGTCTGTTGCTACCTTTTGTAAGTAACGTTACATTGTCTTTCAATTATCTTTGCTACTTTGTGTACTATAGAGACTTTATAGTAATAGCTGCTGCTTAATGTGGTAAAATAAAGAGATTGTTCTATTCTGTATCAGATGAAAGTCAAACACCGCCTTTGGGCAACTCCAGTATTGATTAGAAAAGAAATAAACCACATCCAGGCCATTTCATGTGCAGTTTACTCCAGTTTCAGATAATAAGCTTACAAATAATATTTAAAAATGTAAAATGTGTTAAATAAGCTCATAATCGCACTGAACTGTCCCACTTTGATGTGAATTATTTATTATTTTGAAGAAATATGATAGTTTGTTCTCTAATAGCCACTAGGAGGCAGTGCATACCAAAAATTTCGCTGCTACATTAATTGTGATCCTGAATTCAGTCTCTTAGCAATATTTTCTCTTGATTGTCATGTTGTTCACTCTCTACTTTTGGTTATGTTTCAGCTGGCTGATTGCTATTCTATCACAGCTGAATCCGTTGTTTGGACCAGTACTGCGCAACGATACCATCTGGTACCTCAACTATCACTGGCAGTAGGGTACAATTGTTTCTTTACAAAGCAGGTTAGCAGATCAGCCTTTTTACATAATAAGCAAAGTGCACTAACATCTTTCATTTTGTGAATAAATTAAATGTTTTGCTGTTCACTTCTTTGCAGATGCCAGAAACTTGTACATTGCCAAAACCATCGGGAAACTATTTAATTGAAGCTTTACATGCTGTACTCTCTAAGAATGACTGCCATGACAGTTTGTGTGTGTGTTTTTTTTTTTATTAATTTGATCTCAACTTCAAGGAAATAATATGTAATTACATTTTTAAGTTTTTGTCTTTGTGTGTATATGTACATCACCTGTGTGTACAGTGTCTGTGTATAGTTTGAGTTGAATGACCTGATTATTGTTGTACAAATTAACCCGTCCCATTCATATATGTAAGATTTTGAATGTCAAATAAAATTAAGAATGAGAATGATTTGTAATTTATTGAAGATTTGCATTGTGTCCCGTTTTTAAAATCATGACTGAATTGGTACAAGTTTTAAAAAAGTTTGCAGACTTAAAATCACACAAAGTTATAGGCCATCTAAGATGATTTTCAACTCATTGAGTTTGTCATAGTGTATCTTTGGGGATTCTGGGCCGTGACATTGTGCATTCGCATTCCTCTCGGTGAGAAAGCCCATCAGAGGAGACGTCGCTGTGGTTTTGCTCTTTGGTTTGGCACACAGGACAGCAGGCCATCAGGCCACGCTCTCTGCAGGTGGTGCACGACAGAACCAGCTGGCAGCAGAAGTCTGTGGAGCACAGCTGATATTGATCCCACGGGCAACTACAGTATCTGCACTCTGGGGAAAGGAGAAGTAAATGTTAAGTTTGTCACTCCATACAATCATTTTTGAAAAACTTGCATGAATACATACCTGAAATTACATCCTTGTTGAATGAGATGGCATAACGTTCATCAAACACAAAGAGTTTCCCACGGTAGAAGCCATCGGGGAACTGCTCTAAGTATTTGTGAATGCCTCCTTCCAGCTGGTACACCTCCTTGCATACATTCTGAAGAATAATATTCACGTTTGAGAATGGTATTACAAAGATATGTCATTTTTTTTCCATTCAGACTTACTTTTGATCTGAGATAAGCCGAGCCTCGCTCACAGCGGATGCCTCCTGTGCAGTACATCAGAACCTTTTTGTCCCGGAAGAGATCCAAATTTTTATCCACGTAGTCTGGGAAGTAGCTGAATTTCCGGATGTCGGGGGCCAAACACTGACTGAACTGACCCTGAGAACATACTGAACTATTGGCTGTAATGTACATACAGTTCTGGCATCACTGACTTTCAAACTACTTACAATTTTGCTCTCATAGAAGTTTCTGCAGTCCAGAAGTATTGTATCTTTGTCCGAGGACTGATTCTCCACAAACGCCTTAACTTCTTTGTGAAATTCCTCTGGTTCCAAGTGTATTCCTTTTTGAAGTACACCATTTGCATGAATACGATAGATTAATATACACAACCACTAAAAAGTTTGGGGTCAGTAAGAAAGGGGTCTCTTATGCTGACCAAAACTGAGCACCATTTTTGATTAATAGAAAGTTCAAAAGAACAGCGTTTGAAATCTACAATAGACATTATATATGTATTTACTGTCACTTTTGATCAATTTCATGCATCTTTACTAAATGAAAGTATTAATTAATCAAAAAACATCTAACCCCCAGCTTTTGAATATATTTAAAAAGGCACACTGAATAAACAATTGTACTATGTATCAAGACAGTTGTAGGTGTTTCTCTTACCAGCCAATGTGTAGGAAATGATATCCGGATCTACACCCATAGGGACAATTTCTTTGTAAACACCAACCTTCAGATCAGAAAAGCACTCTGCACCTCCTTCACTTTTCTGAGAAAAAGTCAGTGAAGAGCAGAGGTGATTTTAGACACTATTTATGGGGGATTCAGACCCCATCTTTCATCTCAGCCCCCTAAACAGCTTTTGTCTTTAACATCTCCCTTTACCTGAAGTGCCAAAAACTTTAAAGTTGGTTAAATTAAAGCTGCAGTCTGTAACTTTTTTTTTGGTTAAAAATGATCCGAAATCAATATTTGAGCAAGTACATAACCAGCCAGTGTTCAAAACTATCGCCTTACTTTAGCCCGACTCACAATGGTTAGCTTATAATAATGTTTTCTAATTTGAGTGGTACGGGTAGGTTTTCGCAGGAAATTCAAGCATGGCGACAAAGAGGCAAAACTTACGGACTGCAGCTTTAAGTATTATTCTTTCTCTTTCCTGACAAACATATGCCATTTTAATTGTCGGTCACCCTCATACTCAGAGCAAGACACATTCCTCTAAACCAGTGGTTCTCAATTCCAGTCCACTGCTCTAAACCACATTATCTTAATCTCTAAGCACCACTAAGATGAGGTCTCTGGTAGGGATGTAACGATTAACTGTGAGCCGGTTGAAAATCGATTCAAATATGTGACGATTCAAATCGGTTGAGTGTTAAAAAAAATTATAATAATCGTGAATCGAATCGTGAGTTGAGTGAATCGTTACATCCCTAGTCTCTGGTTATTATGAGCATTGCCTGAATTAATTTTGTGCATCTTATCGGTGTTATTCTGGACAGTGGCACAGATATTTTACCTTGAAATCCTGTACTTGCATTATTTTGAAGGTTGGATGTGACAACATTGTCTTGATGTAAAGACTAGTGGCTGTTTTGGTGCCACCAACTGTACCATTGATACCTTCAGTAGCCACTCGTACCTGGGGAGGAACAACCTTTATCCAGTAAAATTGCCATAAAAGTCTTGAACAAATTTTATTAGTGACGTGCGGTTGCTTTTATTTACCTTGCCTGTTAGTTTAAGTTTTAAACAAAGCTCTTTCTGCCACTGACAAATGATCTGAGGATCATTTAACTGACAGTAGCAGTAATACAGCAGAACCTCACCTGGACCCCTAAAACAGAGAAACTCCATGAAAACTATCATCAGTCTTCATATAAGCAGAGCAGATGATATTAGAAACATGCAATGCACCTACTTGATAAGGTCATCCTCTGGGACATGGCTTGCACCAGGGATCCAGGATGATACATCTGTTGATTCTTCATTACTGGACTCTTCCTCACTGTGAGTCTGGTGATGAAGCATCACATCCAGCATCTCAGTGGTCAGCTGGTGAATCTCACTGGCATGGCTGTTGGCAACATGTTTGTGGACTGATGATGACTCTCTGAATGACTGTCCACAGCAGTGCCAAAGAACTGGTGAGCTGTTTTCACAGATTGGAGGAACTTTCTTGGATGCCACAAATTTTGCAAACGTCTAAACACCGTGGGAAAAGTACTGCTATTAAACACTACAATCATCATGATATCAATAAACTTGACTTTAAATGATCATCGTACTCACCCGTTTCTTGACATGAGAGTACAGTTTCCTTGCTGCTGAAAAGTCAGGTTTGTCTGCTTTATGTACCTCTGAACCAAGACTCTCAACATCCAAATCAACAAGCATACTTGCCATTATAATTGTGATATTGCTCTCCAATAATTGTTTATGAGAGAAAACCAACTATTACCTATCACAGTTCACAGTCCAATAATTAAAAAACTAAACGCCATCCTAAAAACCATCATATAAAGAAGTTTAACCTATTTTCATGCAAGTTATGTCGTTAATGCTTGACCGGTTTATTAAACACTACTGGCAGGTTAATAAAATAAAATTGAATTGACGTGCATTCACGGCTTGAGGAGATAAAATGAGTCGCTTCTACCGGTGTCCGATTCGCCAACGAATCATTATTTTGACTCGGATCTTTTCATTGAATCCGATTCTAAATGACTTTTTTATCAGGTAAATTATAGCTGCAACAAACTGAACTGGGACGGTTTGACTGACACACTTATTAAAACAGCAACTTTAAAGCGTGTTTTTTACTCTTGATTAATTAATATGATACACTTCCGTTCAATTGCAAACATTAAATGTACAAATATAAGCATAAGTAAACTACTTGTGAAACAGTAAAAAAAGAAAAGAAAAAATAACTACAAAAATAAAATAAACTAAATGTTCCTCAGCAAAACGGAGTTTTACAGCATACCAGGGATCATTAGCCTAAATAGTGGCGTAAAAGAATCACTGAATTGTTTGAAAACGAACTTCTCGAGAGAACCGATTCTCGGTGATGAATCAGACTTCTCACCCCGTGTCGCAACAATACACGTGTTTCCGTTGACGCAGCTGTTAACCCGGATGTGTTTCCCTTAAATCAACCGCTTTTATTTTTCTAGTGTGGCTAACGGCTGTTACCATTCAAAACTGCAAGCTTTACTGAACACAATTCAGTGGCTATAAAACAGTTCCAAAAAGTGTATGCTTAGTGGTTTTTCCATACTATTTCAACGGTCTGAATATTTAATTTGAGAAATGTCGAGGCGAAGGCACAGCGATGAGGGTGATGGTGAGTGGGTTAGCATGTACGTTGATAGAGATGTGTTCATGTCATTTTCATATTGTGTGTTTGATTACTCTTATGATTGCAAATGAATGACTTTCTGACAATGTGGCAGTCGAAGGGTGCAGTATTTGACATATGTAAATAGTCTGTTTATTTGCATTAAGTGCATTTGCATTAAAAAAAGCCCCAAGTAAACAATTAAATGTTAACGTTACTTTTTGAGCAGATAGAAAGCTTTCAGATAAACAAAGCACTTTGAATTTGATTATAATAATTTAGGACAGAATGCAAGTCTCTTTAGGACATTATGCTATTAGGACGATTGGTTTATTCATTTTATTAACGTTCCTTTTAGATTTCTTTTTCGTTTTTTTTGACAAAAGCAAGCACTTTTTTAACTGCTTATACTTTGCACTATTTAATACTATTTCATTGCACTTTTTAAAACTATCATGTTACTTTTATTTAGCATAACATAGTTATCTTTTATTCTACAACCTCATTGCAATAAGGCATTCTCAAAACTGCACTAAAGAACCCAGCTAATTGTGTTGTCATACATGTTAGAAAGGACAAATTTATGCTTGATTTTAGTTAATTTAGTTATTTGTCTGTTTTTGTACTGTCAACATTGGCTGATATCACTGTCCACTTTGATTAAAAGAAATGTTCTACTCTGTGTCAGTTTGAAAATCTACATACAGCCTTGTTAGAGGGTAATATATACATGGCCAATTTCAGAGTTAGCTAAAAGTTTACATTTAAGACTCATATTCTTGAGTTTTTCATTCCAGCTGGCTCCCAGCCTCACAAACGCAGGAGGACGTCTGAACCCATTGAGATTGAAGACCGCCTGGAGTCGCTGATATGTCGAGTGGGAGAGAAGGTATAGTCTTGCACAGCTTACTGATCATGCAGAAGTTAATTTTAGTGTAGACATATTAACTGATTAATGCATATTCTTCCAGAGTACGTCCTCCTTAGAGAGCAATTTGGAGGGTCTTGCTGGTGTCCTGGAGGCGGATCTTCCTAATTATAAAGGCAAAATCCTGCGCATCTTATGTGCTGTGTAAGCGACCTGCACTTTAAATATGCAAATGTGCAATGCTTCAAAAGTGAATCTCAGTATGCAACGGATGTTGTATATAACACATTCTGTTTGTTTTGCACAGAGCAAGGCTTTTGCCGGAGAAGTTGACGGTGTACACAACACTAGTGGGACTTCTCAACGCTCGCAACTACAACTTTGGAGGAGAGTTTGTGGAGGCCATGATCCGACAACTTAAGGAGACACTAAAATCAAACCTTTACTCTGAGGCCATTTACTTGGTATGTGCACAGGAAGAAGACATACCACAGGTGAACATGACCTCAGCATGCCTAGCAGATCATGTTCATAGATAATCTTGAGGCTAACAGATGTGTCCGTACAGGTGCGGTCTGACTGGTATGTGTATGCTGTGCTGTCCAGTCTGCCTTGGGTTGGCAAGGAACTGTATGAGAAGAAGGATGTGGAAATGGATCGCTTGCTCAACCAAATTGAGGGATATTTAAAGTAGGTTTCTCTTTTAGCTGTATATTTACTCTCATTTGCATGAAAAGATGGCATGAAAGATGAAAGTTGCAACACATTATCTTTTGTAGCAACCGTTTTCACTCGCTGAACACTCTGACTGAGCGCTTGAGAGTTTTGCTCTTCGTCAAGCAATCTGTACTATTTTTCAATTCATCTCAATTAGGGATGTAATGATTCACTCAACTCACGATTCGATTCGATTCACGATTTTTTTTTTTAACAAAATGAGATTTAAAAAAAATTATAAATTAAATGTCCTTTTTTTATTTCTTGGACAAGATTTTGTCATATAAACAAAATAAGGCTTTGTCTGTGCTCTTTCCTTTTAAAATTAGAGGCAACCACTGCATTTTAATCATGATCCAAACAAAGATGCTGCATACTTGCACAATCAGCAGTTTTTAATCTAAATTACATTGTATAATTTCTAAATTTGAAGCAAAAACAGAATGGTTTGACTTCAGTTTTGTGAAACTATGCATAAACAATATCTGCATGAAACAGAAACAACAGACGAGCTGAATGAGATGCAGATTCACTCTCTGCCAGCAGGTGGCGCTTAAAGCGTTTCCTT